GACTCCTTGTTGTTTTTGTAGATACAGACTAACACGGCTACCCCCTGATACTCCTTCCTAGACAGTCTCTTCCCATTCTGTATGTGTGAAACTGATTTTTCCTTCCTAAGTGGAGCACTTTGCATTTGTCTTTGTTAAACTCCTGTTTAACTCAGACCATTTCTCCAATTTGTCCAGATCATTTTGAATTATGACCCTGTCCTCCAAAGCAGTTGCAATCCCTCCCAGTTTGGTATCATCCGCAAACTTAATAAGCGTACTTTCTATGCCAATATCTAAGTCGTTAATGAAGATATTGAACAGAGCCAGTCCCAAAACAGACCCCTGCGGAACCCCACTCATTATGCCTTTCCAGCAGGATTGGGAACCATTACTAACAACTCTCTGAGTAGAGTTATCCAGCCAGTTATGCACCTACCTTATAGTAGCCCCATCTAAATTGTATTTGCCTAGTTTATCGATAAGAATATTATGCAAGACTGTATCAAATGCCTTACTAAAGTCTAGGTATACCACATCCACAGCTTCTCCCTTATCCACAAGACTTGTTATCCTATCGAAGAAAGCTATCAGATTGGTTTGACATGAGTTGTTCTTTACAAATCCATTCTGGCTGTTCCCTATCACCTTACCACCTTCCAAGTGTTTGCAGATGATTTCCTTAATTACTTGTTCCATTATCTTCCCTGGCACAGAAGTTAAACTAACTGGTCTGTAGTTTCCTGGGTTGTTTTTATTTCCCTTTTTTATAGATGGGCACTATATTTGCCCTTTTCCAGTCTTCTGGAATCTCTCCTGTCTCCCATGATTTTCCAAAGATAATAGCTAGAGGCTCAGATACCTCCTCTATTAGTTCCTAATATCTAATTATAGAACACACCACCAGTGTTTGTCCTGTTTTTGACAGTCTGCCCTGAGATTGGCACTCACAGTCGTGGGCCTCTCCAGACAGTGTGACAACTATATCATAAAATTTACTAAAATTCGGATACATTACAGTTTAGCTCCTGCTTGCCATTCATTAATTTATGCAGAATACAATTGTTTGTCTGGAAGTCCTGAAGATATTTAGTAACTTTGTTTTCTCAAAATCTGTTCCATTATTTTACCAGGGATAGTAATTAAACTTGAATGGCAATTTCCACTTTTCAGACAAGCCTCAGGATCTGTGAATGTCCATATTCAGCAGTTTCAGTAATAAAGTCTTGCTTCATAAGCAACTCTGGGTCTGTTCTGTTTTTGGATTGGAGAGTTGAGGAGAAGAAACTTGCATTTCCATACCAGCATAGTGAAGTGTCTGTCTAATTGTGTCATGATGAGAATTAATTTTTTTAAATAACAATAATCTGGGATTAGAAAAGGCAGATCTAATCAGGGATAGTTCATTTTAAGGATACATCTTTGTTTATAATAACCAGTTCAGCCCAACCGTACAGACAAAATACCAAAGCAAAACTCTGCTGCCTTCATCATAGAGCTTGTCTACACCTAAAAGGCTTCAGCGGCGTAGATGCACTGATGCAGCTGCACCACTGTAGCACTTGAGTGAAGACTCAACCTATGCCAAAGGGAGGACTTCTCCCATTGGTGTAGGTACTCCACCTCCCTGACAGGTGGTAGTTATGTTGACAGGAGAAGCCCTCCCATTGACATAGCACTGTCTACACTGGGATTTAGGTCCATATAACTGCATTGCTCAGACCTGTGTATTTTCCACACCCCTGAGGGTACATCTACACTACGGGGGGAGTCGATTTAAGATACGCAAATTCAGCTACGTGAATAGCGTAGCTGAATTCGACGTATCGCAGCCGACTTACCCCGCTGTGAGGACGGCGGCAAAATCGACTTTTGCGGCTTTCTGTCAACGGCGCTTACTCCCACCTCCGCTGGTGTAGTAAGAGCGTCGATTCGGGGATCGATTGTCGCGTCCCGATGGGACGCGATAAATCGATCCCCGAGAGGTCGATTTCTACCCGCCGATTCAGGCGGGTAGTGTAGACCTAGCCTGAGCAAAGTAGTTATACCGACATAAATTGTGAGTGTAGACCAAGCCCTAGTGAGATACATACATTCTTGATTGGGTTGGTGACTAGCCCTTGAATTAATTACTTTCAGGCCTCACTGACTCAATAAGAAAAATACCTATCTGGGTACATCGAAGTAAGGACCAGCTCAGTCTTGTTCTGGGAAAGCCTGGTTCAAGTCCATCCAGCTGAACTGTAGTCTGTGCCACTGCAGGTTTAAAAACAAAAATGAGCCTGGGCTGGAACCAATGTGAATTTGGGTATGGATGTGCAAAGTTACTAGTTAGATTCAACTCTGGATTTGTATTAGGCTCCAGACAAAACACTGGAATATTGGATTTCACATTGGATTGGGTTTGCTAGAGTGGGGAAAGAAAAAGCTGGGAGTGAGGCTGGAACAGTTTGCTACTAAATAGCATGGGGGCAAGAAGAGACTGTCTCCAAGTCCTGCATCTTTGGCCTGGTCTACACTAACCCCCCAATTCGAACTAAAGTACGCAACTTCAGCTACGTGAATAACGTAGCTGAAGTTGACGTACCTTAGTTCGAACTTACCGCAGTCCAGACGTGGCAGGCAGGCTCCCCCGTCGACTCCACGTACTCCTCGCGCCGAGCAGGATTACCAGAGTCGATGGCGAGCACTCC